TGTTATAAATATATGTTTGTATATTTTGTGAAAATTTTTACAAAAATAGGATAATACTATACATATTGCTTACATTCTTAATTTAAAAACATCATGGATATCCTTCCTTATCAAAACATACAGACCTAATTTATTTTTAATTTTAGATTTTAAACTACATAAAATACGTTGTATTTATTTTTATCACTTTTTTACACATTAGAGTGACAAGAGTCATACTGTTTTGTGTTGAAGTATGAAATTAGTTTTCTTCTAAATGTAATTAAACAAAGAGTTGTATAGCATATTCTTATTTCATTTGCCATAGAGATTAAACTCTTGAGATCTGTATGGTTAACATTGTAATTGGTGTTAAATTATGGTTCTTTCATTTTTCCTTTTAACTTTCATCATCAAACTGTCTTTTCATGGCTAAGACCACTGACTCTGGTGCAAGGCCCCCAGGATGTGAATCCCAGATGTGCTACTTATTAATTAATATATTGTTGGATTTTTCCAGCCCAATTCTATAAAACTTTTGTTTTTTTGGAAGGCAAACTTACGCCATTCACCTTCATTACAAAAAATGATTCCATTTATTTCAGCTCCATTAATGATCAATTGTGTTTTGTGAGTTCCTTCATTTCTATATGTTGTAGATTGCTCATCTATAAAATGGAATTAACAATAGTACTGATGTTATACAAATGAGTGAATGTAAGTAAGTTTACCAGAAATGTACTTGGCTTACAGTAAGCAGTATGTGTTGGGTGTTATTTATATTAATGATGCCCCAAGTTTATTTCTTTTTTCCCTATTTCTTTACTTTTGCTGATTTTTTTGTTAAAATCATCTTCTCCCACCCCCTTAAAATGGGAAGATCTACTGGGTATCTCTGTATTTCTTTGGTAATATGCTTATTTTGAGTTATAAAGGGTGTCCCAAAATTCACGCAAGAAGTAATTTTGATAGAAAACACAGGTTTATAATTAAAAATTGTAAATTTTTATTGATTCATAAAGTATACAGTATAGGGTTATGTATGGAATAGCATATCAGGTAAACTGGATTATCATTTCTTGATAGCGAGCACCATTAACTGTTATTGCCTGAGCAGCCACATTTTTGAAGAAGAATGGTCCGATGATGCCTCCATCCCAAAATCTGCACCAAACAGTGACATGTTGTGGATGCATTTGTTTCTCAACAATCACTCATGGATTTTCTGAACCCCAAATGCGACAATTTTGTCGATTAACCAAGCCATCAAGATGAAAATGAGCCTCATCGAAATTCAGCCACATTTATGCAAAACGGTCATGGAAAATTTCAACAAAAGAGTGCATATGTGCCAGCAAAGCTGTGGAGGCCATTTACCTGATATGCTATTCCATACATAACCCTATACTGTATACTTTATGAATCAATAAAAATTTACAATTTTTAATTATAAACCTGTGTTTTCTATCAAAATTACTTCTTGCGTGAATTTTGGGACACCCTTTATATGCACACTTATAATTATTACAATTTAAAAGTAAACAATAACTATATCTCTTTTGCACTAGGCTATGTGGCCTATGTTCTCTCCTCCCCCACTGACATTTTTCAAAGTGAATATGCTAATTTTCATTGTTACCAGTAGTGTATGAGAAGTTCAAGTGCCCCCATTATATTATCATGCCTTGTTTTTGTCAATATTTTTTAATTTTAGCAATTTAAGTGGGTATATAATCATATTTTACTGTTTTAATTTACATTTTTCTGAATATCAGTCCTTTTTCCATTATTTTATATATTTATTGCCTTTAAATTTTATCTTTTCTGAAGTATTCAAGTCTTATTTTTATTTTCTTACTGATTTGTAATTATCATATAATCTGTACATACGCTCTTCGTTGTTTTTATATATTTTTTTAAATACCTTCTCCTACTCCAATAATGGTGTTTTTTGTTGAACACAAATTTGGTCTTAATTTAGTGAAATGAATAGTCTTTATAGTTTGTGTTTGTTGTGTCCTAAGGAATCCCTTTCTTTTAAACCAAGATCATGAAGATATTCTGTTACACCTTCTAAAAACCTCATGAAACAAGTTTTGTAATGTTTCATTCTTTTAAAGAGTATTTGAAAGAATACTGCTTTTTAAATGTTTAGAGGTATTTGGTGAAGCACTTTGAGATAGGATTTTTTTTTTTTTAGGAATAATTGATTAGGGTTCAGTTTTTTAAAAAGCTGTGTAGGTATTTAAGCTTTCTAATTCTTCTTTTAAAAATCCTCACCCAAGGATATGTTTTATTGATCTTAGAGAAAATAATGGAGGGGGAGGGAAAGGGAATGGGGTTAAGTTCCCTTCTTCCTGAAAATGCTGAGATTTGTATTCATACTCCTGAGATCTTCTCCAGGGTCCAATAATTGGTCATGGATGTTTTAGTGGTTAAATCACCTCAGGAGAAAAGGATGGTAGAACTAAGTTTTAGGACTACACATTTCATTTGCCAAATTTCTAGTCTCCCACTGAGATATATTTTTAAATCCAAGAGCAAAGTAATACTAAAAGGCAGGGTGATTTTAGGAATTAGAAAAAGAGGTTCAACTGTGGAAACAATGTTTAAGAACTTTAGTTTCTTTCTTACAGCCATAGGATTCCTGCTTTAAAATGAAACAAATTATTTCTATATGAAAATATCTAATCTAATAAAAGACAAACATGCAAATTGACCGTACCATCGCTATGCCTTAAGCCACACCCACCAGCCAATCAGAGCGACTATATGCAAATTAACCCAACCAAGATGGCAGCCGGCAGCCACAGAGCTGGAGCGAGCAGGAGGCTTGGTTGTTCCAGTGATGGAGGAAGCCAAGCTTCCCGCCTGCCGCGGCTGGCTCTGAGCTCCACTGAAGGCAACAAAGTTTCAATTATAGAAGGTAAATAAATTTCAGAATAAAAACAAAAAAGAAAAAAAGGAGAGGCTGGGAGCTTCCATCACTGGGGGGCTTGGCCAGCCTGAAAATGGCCCTCAGCCCCTCACCCAGACTGGCCGGAGAGACTGGGAGCTTCAGTTGCAGGCTTGGCCTGCCTGAAAACAGCCCTCAGCCCCTTATCCAGACGGGCCAGGCACCCCAGTGGGGACCCCCACCCTGAAGGGGGTGCGGGCAGCCTGAAAACAGCCATCAGCCCCTCATCCAGGCTGGCCAGGCACCCCAGTGGGGACCCCCACCCTGAAGGGGATGTGACCAGCCTGCAAACACCCATCAGTCCCTCACTCAGGCTCGCCAGGCACCCCAGCGGGACCCCCACCTGTGCACAAGGCCTCTATCCTATATAGTAAAAGGGTAATATGCAAACTGACCCTAACAGCAGAAAGACTGGGAATGACTGGTCACTATGACACACACTGACCACCAGGGGGCAGACGTTCAATGCAGGAGCTGCCCCCTGGTGGTCAGTGCGCTCCAACAGGGGGAGCTCTGCTCAGCCACAATCCTGGCTGACGGCTGCCAGTACAGCGATGGAGGTGGGAGCCTCTCCCGCCTCCTCAGCAGCCCTAAGGATGTCAGACTGCAGCTTATGCCTGCTCCCCGCTGGCAAGTGGATATCCCCCGAGGGCTCCCGGGCTGCCAGAGGGATGTCTGATTGCCAGATTAGGCCAAATCCACCGGGGAGCAGGCCTAAGCCAGCAGGTGGTCATCCCCTGAGGGCTCCCAGACTGTGAGAGGGCACAGGCCAGGCTGAGGGACCCCCCCAGTGTACCAATTTTTGTGCACCGGGCCTCTAGTAGTCTTATATTTACGTCCGTATGGTCTTATATTTATTTCCAATTCTTATAGAAAAACTAAGTCTTGATTGGTTTGTTCATTATTTGGTTTATGAAGTATCTAGGACCTTTTGTTTCTTCTTACCTGATTTCTTTGGCTCATTTTTCTGTCCAAAATCCTTCACCAAACAAGTGTTAGTAAATTAGCAGAGGAAAATAAGAAAGGAGAGGTGAGTACAGGAACAAATTGAAGAAGGAAAATAGGACAAGCACCCGTTCTGCCTATGACTTTTTTCATTAGCACAAATAATCAAGAATTAGAAATGGCTTCTATAAATGCATAGGACTTAAAAATGGTTGCTATAATCTCCAGTGTTCAATAATTTAAATGCTCTATTTATATAAGTAAATATAAAGTAATCAGGTATTTTATATAATCAAGTTTTATAAAATTTATGTCAACATTTGATTTTCTGGTTTTGAAAAGCTATCTATTGTTATGTGGGTTGATTTTCTATTATATTTGGTGCTTTTAACATATTGTATCACAAAAGTTTGTTTTATTCTGTATTTTATGTCATTTTATCCTACAGAGTGTGATTGTCGTGTTGTGAGATTTAATGCCATCGGTAAATTGAGGGCCCATTTACCTACTGAGAAACACATAGGGACTCCCTGATTTACTTTTATTTTTTATCCCGTGGTTAATATTTTTAAAAATATTTATTAATTAAATTGATTGGGGTGACATTGGTCAGTATGAACATATAGGTTTCAGGTGTGGGTTTCTATGTTACAAGATCTGTATATTGCACTGTGTACCCATCACCCAAAATCAAATCTCCTGTCACCTTATATTAAACCTCCCCCACCCCCCTTCCCGCTGGCTACCACCACACTGCTGTTTGTGTTCACGAATATCCCACATATGAGTGAAATCATATAGTTCTTAGCTTTTTCTGACTGAGTTAGTTCACTTAGCATAATGTTCTCAAAATGTTTTTGAATACTCGTAGCTTTAGATAAGTTTAAATAACACAGTCAAGTTTTCGTAGTGCAATCTATGAAAATATAAACATTTTTTACTGTGAGTAGTAATGCTCATAATGCTGTAGAACATTGTTTTAAATAGTAAGTTATGTCCTTTTATTGTTTCACGTTGGAAGCAGATGTGTAAGTATTACATATTTTTTGACTATTTTATTTTGCACCATATTTTAGTTGCATAACTTAATGACTGCACATTATATTCTTTTTCCCCCCAGAAAGTCAAATAAAGAAAACCACTTTACCTTTTCATAACAACAGCAACATGAATGAAGATCTTAACATGGAAGTAGTTTTAGGACACCCTTCAAAAAATGTGTCAGTGGAAAATGAAAAAAGTCAATTACATTCCAGGAAAAAACGGTTTTTATCATATCCAAGATACGTGGAGGTTATGGTGACAGCTGACGCTAAAATGGTTCATCATCACGGGCCGAATTTGCAGCACTATGTACTGACTCTGATATCAATTGTAAGTAAACTGAAGTCTTTTCTGTTTCCTAAAATGTTTGACGTAATATTTTCTCACATTTGATTTTTAAAGTTTTCCTAAACAAATTGTACCTAGGTTTAAGGAAAAGATAATTAGTTAAATTTAGTTTATTTGTATAGCAAGTATCCCATTCTTTTAATTGGATGGCTTTCTAAAACATATAAAATTCTCTGAAGCTACTAGTACTTATAGAAAATGCTTGATTTACTTTATCACATGAATGGCTTCTGCCCCCTAGTGACCGGGAAGATCTTTTGCCCTTGAAATTGGAATTTTAAAAATTTTACTCTATTTTTAAAAAGAGGAGAGGGTATGTTATTTTTACTACTGACACATTGGCCAAATCAGAAATTAGAATACATGACATTTTAAAAAGGTAGGCTATTACTAATAGAGCGGCTTTAGCAAATTTGAGATGTAAGACCACGGTAGCTATAAGAATCCTGTATCTAATGTCAATACCTCTGTTGTGCTGTGGTGGTGCCCAAATTCTAATACCAGTGAAGATACCATTTCTGTGTCAGTGGCATCACTCTGTATCATACATATGTACACACCTCCCTGGTCACAGCTGCTCTCTCTCTCTCTCTCTCTCTCTCTCTCTATATATATATATATACACATATATGTATATATATGCACATATCCACTGTTTAAGACATTTTTAGGTTTAGGCCTGCTATTTTGGAGTAATTATTAAAAGCACCCCCTTTTCATGCACTTGAGTATCCTGGTTTAGTTGATGACTTATATGGTCCCTTATTTATACAGATTCAGGGTATTTGAACATATCTCATAGCTGGAAATACCTTTATTCACATACAGGAAATTTAGGCCCATTTGGTTAAAAAAGATTTGTCCAGAACATATTTGTAGGCCATTGTCAATTTCTCTTTGCTAGAAATATCCAATTAAGTTCATTTTGACTTAAAGATCATAAGACCCAGTTATTTTTCTTACATATAACATTTTATCTTAAATTCTTATAAGTGCTAAGTATAGATGGTCTATGTTGCCTAAACACAATATCTGGTACAAAATGGGCACTCAATAAAAAATTATTGAAAAAAACATGAATGAATAGGTAATTAAAATAATGCACACCCCCCACCCCCCACAATGCATCTCTTTATATATTAAAAGCTAAGTGATCGACTGTATGACCATACAACCAACTGGCCGGCCAGTACAGAAGGGGGCGCACTGGCAATTTAAAAATAAACATTGACTTGCACATGTGCAATACATATAAAGTTCTCACTGGCACCAATCACATGTGTGTGTTTCGATCTGTCATTGTCAATCATGAATATGGTTGTTTTTGTTGACATTCAACATGAACCACATAGCAATTTATTCATCGACTGTCCGACCGACTGGCTGGTACATATATGATGTGCACTGGCAATCTATATATATAAAAGGCTAATATGCTAAGTGTTCGACTGTCTGACTGGTCACTATGATGCGCACTGACCACCAGGGGGCAGACACTCAATGCAGGAGCTGCCGTGATGCTCACTGGCCATTTACAGAGAAATGGCACTGCGGACCTGGTGCCAACAAAACAACACTTAGCTTCCCCCAAGGGGGACACAAGCCCTGCCACCACCCCAGAGCGACTCCCACCAAATCGCAGCCAACACTGCCAAGACCCCATGACACAAAATGAGGCCCACAGTCCAGGCCAGCCTGGAAACGGTGGCTGTGGGTGCTGGGTAATGACCTCAAGTAGCAATGCCCGGCTTCCTCTCCCTAGCCACAGGCCATTTAACCATAAATGGCACCGCGGACCTGGCACCCACAAAGTGACACTCAGCTTCCCCCAAGTGGGATATAGGCCATGTCACCACCCCAGAGCAACACCCCACCAAATTGCAGCCGACGCTGCCAAGACCCCATGGCGCAAAATGTGGCCCCCAGCCCAGAAACAGTGGTTGTGGGCGCCAGGTAATGATGTCACGTAGCAATACTCTGCTTCCTCTCCCTGGCAACTACCCTGCTTGGAGTTTCTTCAGCCCAAGAACACGACTTGCTTTATATCCAGGTGGAAACATTTTACACTTTAACCAAATGTCTGTGAAGAATTTTCCCATGCCTCATCTCCTTTTATCCTCACAGAAGTCCTGGAGTAGGTAGATAGGAGACTTGCTGGAATCCTGTTTTCTTTTCATTAGCTGGAAAAGGGAGATTTAGAAAGCTTAGGAACTTGACCCAACTGAAAATAAGTAAGAAATGGTGGACCTTGAAAATGACTTCAGGTTTTGTTACTGCGCAGAATATAGCCAAACACTACTGCAGTTAAATATTTTACCCTTTGTTCTCCCTGTGTGATCTACAATAATAATCTGCTTCGTGTTGATATTTACTGCTGTATTGCTAACAATTACCTGAAAGAGAAGTTGGGGTGCTTCACTGGGCTGGAAAAAGTTTAGCTACATCAGAAAGCAGATCTAATTAAGCAAGTTTATTCTGTATGTGTGTGTGTGTGTGTGTGTGTGTGTGTGTGTGACATATAAGGCTCTCTCTGGCACCAATTGCACATGTGTGTTTCGATCTGTCATTGTCGGTTGTAAATTTGGTTGACGCTTCTATTATAGAGAAAGGGCAAATAGCAATACTAAAATATTTCTTATAATTAATTTTCTTTCAATGTTCACGAATTTGTGCACTGGGCTAGTAGTTTAAAAATAAATGTTGACTCGCGCATGAGCGATACATATGAAGCTCTTGCTGGTGCCAATCGCATGCGTGTTTTAATTTTATAATACTACTAGAGGCCTGGTACACGGATTTGTTCACTGGTGGAGTCCCTCGGTCTGTCTTGTGCTCTCTTGCAATCCGGGACCCCTTGGGAGATGTCAGAGATACAGTTTTGGCCCAATTTCCACAGGCCAGGCTGAGGGACCCCACCGGTGCACGAATCTGTGCACCGGGCCTCTAGTATGCATATAAGATCTTTGGTTAATCTCTTCCCATCCTCCCGCCTTCCCACCTCCCTCTGAGATTCATCAGTCTGTTCCATGTTTCCATGCCTGTGCGTTGAGCATCTTCCCCCTGGTGGTCATTGTGCATCATAGCTACCGGTTGGTCAGCTGGTTGCTTAGGCTTTTATATACCAGTATATAGATATTATATATACTATTTTGACGTAATCTTTTGCAGTAATGGAATTACCACATGAATCTTTCTTCTAATTAATTTCCTTTCAGTGTGCATGAATCCATGCACTGGGCCACTAGTGTGACATTATAATAGAAAAAAGAGATGATTCAAAATGATTTTCTGAAATTTATATAATACAGACATCTACTTTTTTTGCTTAATTGAATTTAATTTTTAAAATGACAACAGAACTATACATAAAATTTTATCCTGATGACATTTGTTTTTACTTCTGAATCTGAAGTAATTATCTAGATATGTAATTATCTAGGTGTATAATTATCTAAATGTGGGTGTGGCATGTTCATTATGAAGGGTTCTAATGAGAAAAGTGACATGGAAGATATCAATCGATATGTAGAAAATTGCATCAATTATATGGAACACTGTGGGATAAACTTTGCCATTTTAAATGTTTAAAGGAAATTATAATCATTAGGAAAATTAGGGAGGAGGTAGTGATACTGAAGGAAAATACTAGATTTTGTAAAAACAGCAGGTTTTGAAGCGTGTTAAATGACATATAACTCCAGTATCAGTGCTTTGGAAATGCTAACTAGAAGGAGTATACAAACACAAGAGTAATTTGGGAATAGCTATATGCAGTTTTGGTGATAATGCCATATTCTAAAAGGTTTATTATCTGTATTCTTAAAAAATATATGTTTTATTGATTTAGAAAGAGAGGAAGGAAGGAAGGAGAGAGAGAGGGAGAGAGAGAGAGAGAGAGAGAGAGAGAGAGAGAGAGATCAATCGGCTGCCTCCTGCACGCCCCCCACTGGGGATCAAGTGGCAACCCGGGCATGTGCCCTGAACGAAGACCTTTTGATGCATGGGGCAACCCTCAACCAACTTAGCCATACGGGCCAGGGCTTATTATCTGTATTTTACATTAAAAATCAATTAATATAATCACTGTTTAGAAGATATTGTGGCATCCCTTGAGGTAATTGAAGTTGTCCATGGCTGAAGTTGTCCATGGGAGTTTTTACTTTTCATTATTTTCTTAATCCTCACCCCAAAACATGCTTTTATTGATTTTAAAGAGATAGGAAGAGGGAGAAAGAGAGAGAGAGAGAAACATCAATGTGAGAGGGAAACATCAATTGGTTGCCTCCCACATATACCCAAACTCTGGATCGAGCCCGCCACCTGTGTATGTGTCCTGATTGGGAATTGAACCCACTTGCAGGATGACACTCCAACCAACTGAGCTATACTGGCCAGGGCATCTATGGGAGTTTTAAAGCCAGAGTTTACCAAGGGCAAAAGCAGACCTTTTGACTTCATGGAAAATATATCTGCTTCTGCGATTGCTTGAAGCAACAGACCAATGCATGCACAGGTCATTTCCTAGAGTTTTAGTCCCATTAGGAGGGAAGCCAATGACAATTGGAGACAAGATGTTGTAGACAAGGTCAGCTGGTTTGTATCAAGCTTTCATTCACAGGGGCATAGATACTGCATCAGGATTGAGGAAGAGGGCAGCATTCCAAATATGGATGGGGTAGCAGAAAAAGTTTAGGAGGGTAAGTCTCTCTTTTGAGATAGTTTGAGTTTTTTATATGCTTTTATTTCCTCCTCAGAGGTCAAATTTCAGGTGACTTCTAAATTACCTGGGTTTAGTGTTGTTGTTTCTTCTCTTTCATTGAAATAATGTTCAGTAAGGATACAAGAAAGTCAGCAGACTTTAGGGCTTTGCACATACATGGTTCTTTTATTTATGGGATCACATAAATATTTGTAGATGTAAACAAGTAAAGGTGAAAGTAAACTTGGAGAAAAAGTGACACTTGTTTTTCCTGGGACTTTCTTAGTTGTAGTGTTAAAAGTCTTATGTCCCTGGGAACCCCTCAGTCCTGGGCAAACTGGGACAGTTGGTAAACTATGGAGAGATTGCAAAATGTAGTCCAACTTGTTATATCTCCACTTGTGAAGTCCATTTCCAAAATTGCTCTAGAGCAGCGGTTCTCATCCTGTGGGTCACAACCCCTTTGGGGGTCGAACGACCCTTTCACAGGGGTCGCCTAAATACATCCTGCATATCAGATATTTACATTACGATCATAACAGTAGCAAAATTACAGTTATGAAGTAGCAACGAAAATAATTTTATGGTTGGGGGTCACCACAACATGAGGAACTGTATTAAAGGGTCGCGGCATTAGGAAGGTTGGGAACCACTGCTCTAGAGAGTTCAGAGAGATGTTGTCTCCACCTAAGTGTCCCCAGAATGAGGCAGGGGCCGATTCAAGTTTTACATATTTTGTCCTAATTTATAAGAAGACATTAACTGACTGAATTTATTCAAACATACTCAGGATATTGGTAATGTTCTTGGTCATAGTAATTTAGGGGAAAAAACACACAAAAGAAAATGTGATTTAAACTTGGAATATGATTGAGAACCATTTAAAATTCAAAGTGATGAAAAAGAGTAGTTGTGTGTTGAGCTCCATGTATAATGAGGAAATTGCCGAATACTTTCAGCATTGAGCTAATGGATTATAATTTAAAGAGATTATCTATCCTTACCCATCCTGCACACAGTCAAGAATAGTGCTATCTTGAAGTTTTTCTTTGCTTTCAACAATTTAACAAAATGTCTGAGAGCAGTGATATAGGAATAATCTGTGTGATTTTATTCACTTTTTAGAATGGTGTACTCATGTTGTAAAAATAAGTTAGTGATCTCTAAGGGTTTTGGAATTAACATTAAAATTAGCTGGGAAGAGCACAATTGTGGTGTATAGTATATCTAATGAAATAAGTGGTTTAAATGAGCAGAGATATTCAATTATTTGCTATTCCAAAGTTCCTATCCTTATAGAATTTAGGTGACATTATCACATTAAAATGGCATTTACATATGCATTATTAAATCACCCAAGTATGTATAAACTAAGGCAACTACTTTCTTCAACAGATTGATTTTGATATTCAATGACTTACTATTTAACAAACCTTGAAAACATTTATGTCAGAAGCCTCCATACTCCATTGTGCTTACAAAGGATTGACTTTACAATATTCACCTTATTATAGATTTGATGTAAATTGAAGGAGCATCATGTGATATTCAGGAATCAACCCTACTTATTAGAACATTGTTACTGTTATTTAGAGTCATTTATCAGCTAAAACCCCTCACTTGCTCGATCCCCGGTCCTGGTCAGGATAGGTGCCAGAGGCAACCAATACTGTCAGAACACTGGGAATATGTTTTCACATTCCACCCAGGAGGCTGGTCACCTTTCAATAAAGATGCAGCATGTGTTTCCTTCTGAAACTGAAAAATTTTTATGGTTATATATTTTATAGCTAATATTCTAACATCCAGATTGTCATTTGTAGTCAACATATTTGGGGCAATGAGTAGAGAAAGAAGCCATTTCGGTACTTCAGAGTCTTCAGCTCTGTTCTCTGGAGTACTGCGAATGGAAGATTCCCTGTGACATAGAAGTCTTCACAATCATTTTATTTTTAGGTGGGGATGGGAGAGGGAGGAAGCCTTTGTGCATACCTTTGAGGTGCACTGTTTACCTAGCAATTTGACTTATAAAAGCATCTACTTTTAAACTTACAGAATTAAAGCATAGCTCTGAAGTCACAAATATGGGTCTACTCTACTATCTATACTAGATATATTTTTATTTATTTTTTAAATTAAATCTTTATTGTTGAAAGTATTACATATGTCCATCTTTTCCCCCCATTGACCTCTTCTAGCCCGCTCTGTCCCCGGGCCTTCACCACCCTATTGTCTGTGTCCACAGGTTATGCATATATGTCTACAAGTCCTTTGGTTGATCTCTTCCCACCCACCTACCCTCCCCACCTTCACTCTGAGGTTTGACAGTCTGTTCAATTCTTCTATGTCTTTGGATCTATTTTGTTCATCAGTTTTTGTTCATTAGATTCCACATGAGTGAGACCATGTGGTACTTGTCTTTCTCTGACTGGCTTACTTTGCTATATTTTTAATAATTGCATGTAAAAATGAACATTTATCAATTCAGCTATAGATTTCCATAGCTCCCATTTTAAAGGGAGCAATACTGCAGGGTTAACAGACCTCCTTGAAAACACCAACCATCTGATTGGCCCCATCATAACGTGCTCTCAAACCCACTGGGGTAACCACCACTCTTGCCAAAAAATGCCACCCCTCAAAGCCAAAGGTCTCACTTCAGGGAGAGAAGACAAACCTGTGTTTGTGGCTGGAGCACTAAAACAGTAGGAAAGGTGCTGGAATGCGTAAGTCCATGCTGAGCTCACACTGTTGGCGTCTCTGGAGATGCTTTGGCTCTTGTTCAGGTAGCGCTCCGTGTGGCATTGGAAGCCGCAGAAGCAGTTAGGTTATTCATTGTGCTGATGGAGTGAGGGCTCCACTACCTGTACTTCTAGCAAATTGTATTCTCCACAAGATCAGTGACCATGTCTTTTAGCCAACAAAGCCAGGAGTAGATGCTGAATATTTATTAAATAATGGAGGGAAGTAGTACTTCTGAAGCAACTGCTACCTTGGTTTGGGCAGTGGTCCTGGAGACGGTGATCCAGGTGTCAGAAGCAATTTTTATTGCACAGGAGGTCCAGGTCCATAGAGTTATGTCATTAAAGGAATACAAAGCAGAGGCATAGGCCATGGAAGACACTCCTACTGCAGTGGTAACCTCTATGATGGCTCCAAGGAGAGGATATGAATTAGTGAATTGGATAGCACCTTGATTGTGAATCACAAACTGAGCCCATGCAGAGTGCATCATAGGCTGTGTTCTTCAGTTTTGAATAATTAGAACCAGATTGTGACCCATAACCTCTCCTATGGCTCTTTATATGATTCTGGATAAATCAATCTCCATGGATTCCAGTAGTGCTAATCACTAAAAATCATAAGCTCAGAATTGGAAATATTCAACCATGGCAGAAGAAGTCAGGTAAAAGAATAGGTGAAACTTACATATTTATTATGAAGTATCATGGCACTTAGATTGTGGATTGTGACACAGAATGAAGTGAATTTCTTCCTGAATCATCCAGAACAGTATTTTCCAAGCTCTGACACATGTTCAAATCTTGTTAAAATTCAGATTTTTGACTCATTAGTCCAGGGTGGGGCCTGAGGTTTTGTATTTCTTATTCTCTCTAAGTGATATGGATGCTGCTGATTCAGGGACCAATCTCAGTAGCAAGGATTAGGATACTGGATCTCAAAGTTGGCTTCACATTGGAATCATTAAAAATAAATGCTGAGGAATTTTATGAGATATTGATAACTGAGTCTCATCCCTGGAGATTCTGACTTAGTTGTTAAGGGGTGTGGCTGAGTGTCAGAATTTGTGAAAAGCTCCCAATATGCAGCTAAGTTGGAGAATTGATGCTCTTGGATTGGTTTCAGTTTACTTTTGAAAAGAAATATTCATTTTAGACATTTAATACTGCATATCTTTTTTCCTTGCAGGTTGCAGCAATCTACAAGGACTCAAGTATTGGAAATCTTATAAACATAGTTATTGTAAAATTAATTGTAATTCATAATGAACAGGTAAGAAACAATTCTAAACTTAGTAATCTTAGTTCTAGTAGGCCCCTAACATAAATATATATAGATTATGAAACTTATTAGAAATGAGATAGTTTAACAATTTATGTTTTAAAAACTTATTTGGAGTGAGATTAACTTTTCCTGTTGTGATGGAAATAAAATGTAATAATAGAGGGAATAAGAAAAGTTAATAAACAAAAAATTTAAGCTTAAAAGCAACCATGTATTCACTTTTATAAACCTACTAGAGGCCGGGTGCATGGGATTCGTACACTGGTGGCGGGGGTGGCCCCGGGCGGATCTGCTCGCTGTGGGAGCACCATTCATCCTGGTCAGCCAAGCAGTGCTCCCACTGTGGGAACACAGTGACCACCAGGGGACAGCTTCTGTGTTGAGCGCCTGACCTCTGGTGGTCAGTGCACGTCATAGCGACTGGTTGACTGGTCGTTCTGCCGGTAGGTCGCTGGGCTTTTACTATAGAGGATAGGATTTTTGAAGGATTTAGAATATGGTAGTTTTTAGAAGGTAATGTTTTGATCCTAAATACTGGATGTTATATTGAGAAGGTCTAATTAGATTCTGCTTTGATCACACTATTTTAAGTATTGTCAACATATGTTTGAATACCAGGGAAAGATACTGCTACTTCATTTGCCTATTAGGTCTAATTAGATTCTGCTTTGATCACACTATTTTAAATATTGTCAACATATGTTTGAATACCAGGAAAAGATACTGTTACTTCATTTGCCTATTCCTCAGGCCGACGGTCTATCCACTGAGCCAAACCGGTCGGGGCTAAAATGTTTTTTGATATATTGCATGGATGCTGACAGGCTTTGAGGGAAAAGAGGCCATGAATATTTTGCGTAATACTAGTTTGCATATTCTTTTGCACAGGAAGGACCAGTCATCAGTTTTAATGCAGCTACAACATTACGTAACTTTTGTTTGTGGCAACAAACTCAGAATGTTCTTGATGATGCTCACCCTTCCCACCACGATACTGCTGTTCTTATCACAAGGTACAGTTTCAGAAATATAACACTTCTAACTGCAATTGCTTATCCTTTTTCTCCTGCATGCTCAATGATACTTCTTGTTATCTTAATTCTTTATCAATGATACACAGCGGTATCCTATGAGAACTTGTTGAACGAAAGCATTCTTCTCTTCTTTCAGACTAGTACATGAGGTTATTCCTTAGGAAATTAACAATGTTAGGTTATTAAGCAATGGTATGACCTAAACAAAATAATTACCTTATTCTCTTAGTGGCAGAAGAAGAGAATTAGGAAAATGTAGAAATTAATTTAGGGCACTGAGAACAGGTTTAGTTCATTTCCCACTTGACCTTTCAGTCACTTGGAAAGGAGAGCTTTTGAATTTATTTGCTTGTCCAATCAAAGTGATCCTTTTACTTAAAAAAAATCCGTTCCTTGTTTTGATGCTCAGTGCATGTCTTAATTTCTAGGCTGTTTTTGCTGGGGTGTTTCTCAAACTTATTTACTTCTGTGGAAAACAGCTTCTGTTATTATAAAGTGATGATCCATTTTCAAGCTTCTGCTATTATAAAGTGATGATCCATTTTCAAGCACCACTACCCATTTTTAATTCACACCTTTGTTTCAGCAACTCTGATGCCACCAGAATATTTACATCCCAGGTCTGTTGGGTGTTTTTTGTTGGTTGGTTGTTCAAAAGAAAGAAATCTCTCATTTGAGGGTCAGATTTGTAGAAACCTCACCTTTTAGAACCCTAAGATGTACTAGTAATTGGAGACATATAGTCCATGTGCTTTATGTCTTTGCAAAACTAAAGCAGAATTAACTTAATTTTATACACAGTAGGCTATTATCAGTTTATCGTTCTGCCCAGGATTATAGTTTAGAGGCCAAGCAACAAAGACTGTAGATAATGTCTTAAACATGGCAGGGAGAAAGGGCTATAAGAGAAGACCATAAGGAAAGCGATAAGGGAACTTTTCAGTTAAATGGCTAGGGACTAAGTAAGGTCACATCTGAGAAGATTATTATTTTGTAGCAGAGAATAAGTGCTGAGGCTCATAATGACATTGAGACATCAAGGAAAGAGTGAATTATCTTCACTAATAAAAGAGAAAGATGAAAATTGACTGTACCTATGTGACGCTCACCAGCCAATCAGGAGTGAGTATGTAAATTAACCCAACAAAGATGGCAGGTTAATTTGCATAT